CCCCCCCCCCGCTTATTGTGCGGATAAACACCGTCATTTACGTGCGAGCCGACCGACGGCACGATCGATTCTCGTACAGCGTGTCGCATTTCACGACAATAAGTCCACGGTTGAGGAGGAGGAGGGAGGGGGGTGTATCGACGGCGATGGCTGCGGCGGAATAATGCATATTCAGCGGCAGTTTTTAATATCCAGCCGATGAAGAATCGCGGCCGGCGCGGTATTGTGCGCACAGTGGCAACTTAAAAAAAAAGGTGAAACTTAAAAAAAAACGCGAAATGTAAAAAAACGCGAAACCTAAAAAACGTGAAACCTAAAAAAACACGAAACCTAAAAAAAAAAGACGCGAGACCTAAACGCGAAACCTAAACGTGAAACTTAGCCGCGAAAACCTATGCGCGCAACCTATGCGCAGAACCCATGCGCAGAATCCCTGTGCGGAATCTATGCGCAAAATCTAACTGCGAAACCTAACCGCGAAATAAAAAAAACGCGAAACCTAAGAAAAAAATCCAAAACCCCAAAAATACGAAACCCCCAAAAATCGAAAAAAAATGAGACCTAAAAAAACGAAATCTAAAAAAAAAAAAACGCGAAATTTAAATGAAAAGAACGCGAAAACTAAAAAAAACGTGAAACCTGAAAAATCTAAACGGGTAATTTAGCCGCGAAAACCTATGCGTGCAACCTATGCGCAGAACCCATGCGGGGAACGTATGCGCGAATCCTTACCGCGAAATAAAAAGAACCTTACTATTTAATTAAAATTGCATTTGCATTTTTATACACAAATAAGACAGTTAAAAACAAGTTTATCTCTTTGTCGTTCCGTTCCTACCAGTTGAGTGATATCGTGCGCGAAGCGTAGATTGAAGACACCTTATTGATTGCGCCGTGTTTCGCCGTTAGAACCAATAGAAGACAATTCCGGCTGCAAATTCTTACTACGGGGCTCTATGAGGTTGCTTTCGTGAGCAATGAATGATCCGTCGTTGTTCGCGCGAGATGGATGGCAGGTCTAATTTTGGAAGTGACGGACCGAGACGGGCGAATTGTTCGATACGTGCCGCCAGTGGATCAACTTACAATCAAGTGAACACGATAATGAGACAGCATAACGGAACAACATCGCGTCTGATGCGATGTTAGCATGTTTGATGTCTGCAAGCAAGTCTGGCCTCGTTATGGGCCATGATACCAGCTGCGCATCTAGCGAGAGATGCGAGAGAACATGAACGAGAAGGAGAGGGAAGAGAAGGAACGAGAGACGATCTATAAATTGCGCCTGGCAGTCGCGTATCCCGAGTTACATAACACACATACATAGACGACGCGACACGTGCACTTCCGTGCGAAAACTCTCCCCGTCCACGTGTGTGGTTGATGGACTGCTTAGTCGAAAGAGAGAGAGAGAGAGAGAGAAAGATGTAACAGCGGGCGCACGTGAACGCGCGCGTGCACGGTTCGCTCGAAAGTTAACCGAAAAAGCTCTTTAGCAGTTGGAAAACTACCGTTCGGTGAATGAAAAAACAGAGTGCGGCTGTCATTTTCGACGCTCGTCGAATTACCCCCTTCCTCTCATAAACTCGTCTCGTGCCTGCCTGCCTACCTGCCGCGAAACTTCGGCCGCCAACAACAACAGAGTGGGGATATATCTGATGTTTTCGGGCGTCCGATTCTCCCTTTATACTTTAATTTCATCCCTCAATTTTCACAAGAATATAGCTCAAAAACTTCAACACGACAGAAGATCAAACGGCGCAAATAACACAACCGAAAGCGTTTGCAGACAGAAACTGCCACCCACCAGCTCCAACTACTATACATAGTAGATGAAACAGATTCTGTTGGGTACAGTTGAGTACTTTACAGCCGGGAAACATAGACGTGTCAGTTTACCATATCTATGTCAGTTTCGATTCTTTTCCTCCACTAGTTATTATTAAAATTATAATTATTTTTGGTGTCAACTGTGTCTTATTATTGTTCTAATTATAAAAAATAGTTGGTATTTGTAATATGCATATAAATTATTATCACTGACATAATACATTTGTGTTGATAATATTATCAATCACATTTATTGAAAAAAATTATTTTTGATTATTATTATTAGTATTATTATCATTATTATTATTTTCCTACATATATATATGTTATCATAGTTACAAATGCTACACTTTTTCTTAGTGCAGACGAAAGATCGATTTAGCACGGTTCGGCGGCCGGGATATGGAATTTCGATCGATATGTTTCTCTCGCGCGGTGTATCGTTCCCCTGGAAATGGATGCCTTTCGGCCGGGAAACGCGAGGGGGAACCTCCCTTCACCCCCGTGGGATCGGTCGTGGCCGAGAGACAGAGCGGCGAGATATCTCGAGAACTGGGTTTGTTATGGATTCTGATAGCGTATCTTTTTTCATCCCGAAACGTAAAAAAAATAGAAGCCGGAAAGAAGTAGCGCGCAGTTGGGCGGCGATACTTCGGGGCCGGGAGTTTCCGCCGGGGACGGTGTCTTTATCAACGCGGTTTGCCCAGCTTTCTTTCTTTTTTTTTTCACGCAATCCTACAGGCGGCGTGGCCGAATTATTGACGTGACTTCTCAACACTATCGAAGTTCAACTGCGTGACGTGTCAACAATAATGCGTTATGGCGGAAGACGAGGTTTCTTAATAAAGATAAGACCGCGTCGTTCGAGGAAGCAGCGGAAGGGGGAAAGAATTCCCTCGAAATGATTGTGCGTTTCTGGAATTTTTTTAAAATAAATACCCCGACTCGTCCAGGTCGAATGCTTCGTCGAATATGCGCATGCATACGCGCGATGGGGTTGTGCGCGCGAGAGATCGTTATCCTATTTGTAATTTTGAAGTTTCTTTCGCGCCTATATAAAGAGCTTAGTGAAAAAGCACCGGGAAGGTGCATAATTTATGAAGCTTATATACGGCCGTTCGTGCTCAAAGTGAGCATCACGAATAATGGATCCGATACACTTCTGCCCCGCAGCCCTTATGGCGGTTTCACGAATACTTGATTGTAATTATATTCGGAGAGAGATATAAATATATGAAGAGCTACGTTAACGCTCATTAGCGACGGGAAGGTATAATCCGATTCGTCAGATTACCACACGTTAGATTATTCACTACTTCGATATTCCCGATTGATGAATTCGTACGGGCGATTCAGAAGAGCAATGGTGAATTTAATCGCGCGGCTTAGAGAATATTTCCGCGCTGTCTTGCGGCTGTCCGGGGAGAATTGGTAGAATTTCTATTTTTATACGATTATGGATTGCACCGTCCGACGAAATTTGATCTTTTTTCACGCGTCACGAATGTGAACAGTCATTTTCGATGTATTTCTACCGATTTCATGTTGCTCTTTTTCATTTAATTTGATCCGATTATATTATGTAAGTACAAAAGCGCTTACTTTCGAGCGTTAAGATGCAATAAAATGCCTTTCCCTTGTATTAAATGTTATTTTCAAATCGTTGTATCTCGAAAACGAAAAATTATACCGAAACGAAACATATTTTAAAGCTAAAAGCTGATACTCTCATGCGGCATTAACAAAATTTAGAGAAAGAATCTGTTGTCGGCGCTACAACGCAATGAAAAGCATCAAAATTATTTTTAATCTCTGACGCTATTTTTCTCCAAATTATGACGTGATAGCCAAATTTGGACAACCGATTCGTGTTCAACAAGCAAAAATACATCGGAAATAACTGTTCGTATTCAAGTTGCAAAATAGTATTGGACAATTTTATAGATTTTTCCGAGGGCGCGCACACACACACACACACACACACACACACACACACACACACACACACACACACACACACACACACAAATCTGAGTGAGTTATTTTCAGTTCGTAAAGTAATATAACGAGAGACTACCTCTTCTTTTATTTCGATTTATTTCTCTCTCTCTCTCTCTCTTTCTCTCCCTTCTAATTCCCGTCGTTAAAATTTCGCAACTCAACCCCCTCAAAAATTGACTTCAGCGCGAATAACTTAGCATACGCCGGCAAAGTTCGGTCAAACATCTCAGGAGCGGCGAGTGCAATCAAGCGAACTTGGGGATTCGATTCCAGGGGGCGGAAAAAGTTTCGGTTTCGACTTACGGTCGGCCGGGATATTCGGTGCGCCGTTGACTGCGTGAGAGTTCGCCGCGGCCGTGTGTCGCGCGCTTATAATTCCTAACGGAATCGATTCGATTACCTGCAGGTCCACCCGGGTCTCGCAGAGATCGCCCGTGTAGCCGAGTGGGCAGAGACAGACAGCGGTGTCGCCTCCGGTAGTCAGGCATTTCCCACCGTGGGAACACGGCACCTTGCTGCACCTGTCGGCCGTGCACTCCTCTGGAACGACAATAAATCAGGCGATTTAATAAAAGTTCCGGCGGGCCGCGAAATCGAGAGAATTACGCGCGAGCAGGGAGAATCGGATCCGAGGCCGACTCTCGACTCGGCTCGACTGCGCGCCAGATAAAACTGATAAAACCGCTCGCGCACCTCGACAGATCCTCCTCTCCGTCGATTTATCGGCCCGGCGGAGTATCAATCTCTTTCGCCTCGTCGTATTTTCGACGATATCATTTAGCGTACGCGCGAGCACTGACGGCGAATTTTTGCGCGACGTTGACGTTCCTTCTCTCTCTCTCTCTCTTTCTCCCTCTTTCCTTCAATCGACACGACGGTCCCGACGTTGAGCTCCGCGACGTGTGCCACCGGGACATCCAGCCGGGAATATGCGACCCCCTCTCCCTCCTCTTCCATGATCATATCTTGCCCGCCGACGTATATATTTAATATATCGTATGGTTTTCGCGCCGTCAATTTGGTACGAAGAATGAAGAGCACAAAAAGGAGAGTCCGCGAATGTTCCGCGAACAAAAAATTTGGGGAGAAAAGAGATCGAGAAGAAAAAGAAGAAGAAGAAGAGAGAGAGAGAGAGAGAGAAAGAGAAAATATCGATCGGGTGATACACAATGAACGAGCCTGGACGATTTTTGCTCCCCGCCGCGGAATGTGCCCAACGAGTTGAACTCTCCGGGCCAAAGTTTTCCAATCTAAGGGGTGTTATCTTTCCAGGGGGTCTCTCCGTGCACGGGGAGGGAGGGGGGAGGGCGAACGTAGACGGAATCGAAGAGTAACGCGTAACTTTCGATTCTAAGAATCCCCCGCCGCCTCTCTCATCCATCTCCGTGACCGATACCTACGATATCTACCTACCTACCTACCGTTGTAACAGATCGTTTTGATACGCGATAGTGAGCGAAAATAACGCCGAAAATAACGGGCGAAGTAACATAATAATTGATGGCGCAATTTCTCGCCGTTAATTGACGCTCCTGGATATTAATGAGAGATCGCGTTTGATCTGACGTCCCGCCGCGCCCGTTAGTCCGAATCTACAATAAGTGTGTAGTGAGCCTTCGGTTTTTCGCCTGAGCAAGCGTAACGCAATTTCGTTTTCCGCTAAAACGCCGAAATTTTGGGAAATGCGGCGTTTGATAGCGCAGCAAAGCGTTTTTTGGCTCAAAATTACGTTACAATTAGGCGCTCAGAGCAAAAAGCAAAAAGGCTTCGCTCCACACGCAGAAAATTTGTACCGAATAACACAGCATGCAAATAGCATAATTTATTAGATTTATGTCGCAAGATTAGATTTAAACGACGTCCCCGACATTTGCCGAACGGCAGATGGGGCTGTGCAGCATGAAAAGTCACGGGAGGAAAACGGAAAATATTTTACTCCTGCGATTTCCCCACCTTTCCGCTACGGAGAAACGGCGAGCATTTAAACAACAACATGGATGTGGTACGCCCAAGTGTAGTATTTTCGGGTTAAAGCTTACGAAGCTGGAATCGAAAGCGACGCGACGAACTGTCGTCGTCGGCTTTGTATTCTTCCCCGACTCCTCCCGTCATTACTCATTGCGAGATACACAACGCTCGTTAATAAGAGTGGCGCCAGTCGATCATGAGCGCATTATACGTGGCGAACATACACTAAAGTTCGCGCGCACGCGCGATAAATATTAATTAAATATTCATCTCTCGGCAGTCGCGCGTGTGGTATTTTATGAATCTGCATAATGACGCTTCGATAGGTATCGATTAGTACTCGATAATTAATACCGCACTTCGATAAAGAGCGTACTCTCCATGGGTATCGTGTGGTACATCATCCGTGTGTAACTGATTATGTTGGAGAATACACTCGGGTGAAAATTTCGATGGTACTCGGACGTTTTTAAGGACCGTTTCAAGCGCCTATTTAGGTGACCTGTAGGCTGTGGTAAAAATTTGCTTTCGACGATACCACACTTGTTAACTTCTCTCTTGAATGTTTGGCTCGACAGAATCAATGAATGTTAATCCTTTAATTTAATTTTAATGCTACCTTGAAGCTATAAATGCTCCCGATATTTCAATTATTAAATTCGCATGAATATTCGAAATATCCTACTTTACCGCTAAAAACGGCGAAAACGGAAATTTAAAATATCATTATATTGTCAAAGTAGGAATGAATTATATATTAAATTATATCTTTCATAAAAATCATATAATAATATTTTGTTATATTAAAGATATAATTTAACCGTATTAAATTATATCATTATATCATTTATTGATACCTATTTTTGCCATCTTAACTCTCACTGTGTTAAAGGATAAAAAGTTTAATGTAAAGCTAAAATTTCGATCCAAGGAATTACCGCTATTTATCACGTGATCCGAGTCACAATTTTGATACTATTCCGACATTCTTAAGGATAATTCGCGTCTATTTATATGGCTATACTACGTATATTGTCAAAGTGGATTTTTTAGGAACAAATTATATCATTAGAATTACACCTACTTTGCTATCTTAGCTTCTGCCATTGTAGAATTAAAGGTTTAACATAGGATCAAAATGTCGACTTCGGTATTTGTGCCGCAACGTCGATCGCGAACGCGGATTCTCTTGTAACTTCGAGCATATTTCGCTCGGTTTTTTCGCCCCAGGGAAGAAGCGAACTTCGTCTCAGAGAGACGAAGGTAGGCGAAACGCGCTCCCCAAGTCGCTCGCATCCTTCGACGCCAAGAGCGTTTACTTCGTCATTATTCACACAGCCCATTAGCACACAAATGTTTACCATTAATATCGTCTCACACTCGCACACAATTGGTTATTTCGAGTATGACCGGCGATAAATATCAAAATTACGGCCGGCGTACGCTGCGAACAATGGCGCCCGATGTTGCAAAATAGAGATAACATTTGCTCGCTGCTGCGTCGTGATATAAATACTGGACAGACGTTCATTACTCAGCTGGTAATTAATGTCGCGCGCGCACACATATGCACTTATATATTTAATACGTAGACGGGCGTACATACGCGCGTACGTACAGCTGTTGCACAGTCAGATCTAAACGACTTCCCCCCCCCCCCAAATGTTGACAATTAATTACCGACACTCTGCCAACGATAACGATGATAATTACTCGCGATAGCTATCGTCTTGCTTGACACACGTGATCCATCGCGGGTCACTTTGCTCTTCACTGAGTAAAAGCGTCCTGTGATCGTATCGTTTTTGACATAATTAATGTCCGCTGCTTTCAAGCGAATGTCACAGCAGCGGGTCTCCTTTCGTTTGCGCAACGAGACTCAGTTAACTCGTAAATTAAAGAAGAAGAAGCTCGAAACGCGCTTCTCGCCCGATGTATGATTATAATCGAGTCATTTGTGTCATTTAAAGCCGTCGCCCCAGCACGATTATTTCTCGTTGCACAGACGTGTCAACAACACGTTAAAGAGTAGAAACATACGCAATGTTCGTCAATTGGAACGCTCCAAACAACGATCGCGAAATTCCCNCTCTCTCTCTCTCTCTCTCTCTCTCTCTCTCTCTCTCTCTCTCTCGGCATTTCGCGATAAAAAAAAAAAGAGAAAAACATCGACACTGAATTAAAGAGTACACTGTTATCGGATAAAGTGGCGGAAGCGCGACAACCTGTATCGTATGAACGGCGTCCCGATATGAATCGTAACCCGAGTCGAAATTTTGGTCCTGTGTGATTCTTTGAACCTTTAATTCTACAACACAGTAGGAGCTAAGATAGCAAAATAGGACCAATTCTAATGATATAACTTATTACTACGCTGATGATGTCTTAAATTTCCGTTACCATTGTTTTTAGCGTCAAAATAAGTTATTTTGAATATTAATATTAATATGAATCTAATAATCGAAATATCGAAAACGTCTGTAGCTTCGAGGTAGCATTAAAATGAAAGCAATAGAATATAAAGGTTTAAGAGAGATTTTAACGAGTATAAAGTATCGTCAATGTAAGTTCGTACTACTTAAACCAGCTTCCGAGTTAGTGCCGCGTCCTTCATGAATTGTTGTTTCCAACAACGTTTCGTAAATATTTTAGTTCGCTTCTTTACGATGAGGAGAATGACCCGAAATTAGCCCGAAATTAAATTATACCTCAACTCGAAATCTAAATTTTTACTTAATCTAAATTTTTACCAGTTATACTTGGAAAAAATAAAATGTTAATTTAAAAATTTTTCACATGTCCCAGAAAGTCTCTAAATATTGTGTTAAAATAACATATTATATTCGTTGTATATGTTACTTTTTAACACACCGTGAAAATGTTTAATTATTTGACAGAAACACATTTTGTTCTACATTTATATATGTTGTTTCAACTTAAAATATGAACAAAGAAATTAAAAAATACGCAAAGGAGTAGTTAATGTAACTTATAAAAAAGTACCACTGGAAAATATTTGTACTAAGTAAATAAAATAAATGTTACATTTTAATATAATTTTGAGGAACTTCTCGTGTTATATTAACATATGAAATTAATGACTTTAATTTAAATTATTCGTAAGAGAAACATTTGGTTTTAATCAATTTGACGATTTCATATGTCGAAGTTTATAATTATTTAAAGACTCATTTTAATTTATGTTAATGTTAAAATAACTTTAAAAAATATTCATTTCCTAAAATAATTATGTTAAAATAACTCAAAATAATTTCACTTTTAAGCGACACATGAAAAATGTCGAATTACCAAATTGACGTGAATTTAACACATGAAAACGAATCACGAAAATAATAACGTATGAGCTGTGTCAATTGAACTGTTAATTTGGCATTGAGGTATTTAGTCAAAAGTCGGTAAACGAGATGTTAACATTCAGATAAAAGATTTTTTTACTGTACAGGTCTAAATAGATGCAAACTGCCCTTAAGAGCGTTAAGGTAGCATCAGAATTTCAACTCGAGAAGTTACGAGCTTTTCGAGCGATCTCCGCGGCGATCCGAATTCTCCTCACGACAAGCCATTTGTCGGAAAAAAAAAGAAGAAAGAAAGAAAGAAAGAAACATGAAACGGACGTTCAATACAGAATTGCCGTTTTACTGGTGTGCAAGCGGCGAAATAAATAATGCGGCTCGCGTGTGCACGGACGAATTATTATTATTATTAATGTTCCGTCGCGCAACGACTGTAAAGCCGTCGGCGGTGCCAGCGCTGAAATATGCGAAACAATTAATAACTGCGAAGCCCTAATTGGCAGCCTTACAGCTACGACATCGGTCGGTCAGAATGCGGCCGGGCGTTACCGGGCGACCGAATTAACGGCTATATCGGCAAACGGATACAACAGGTGTCACATGAATTTAGTCGGCAAATCCTCCGATGCCCGCTCGATTTAACTCCGAATATATTCTTCGCCTCTTTTTTTTTCCGCCACTACGGCGGCGGTGGCGGCAAACGGATTTCCTAAGTATCCTTCTTGCGCGCGCGTGTCTCGGAGCTTAACTCGCCGGATGATGTAACCATAATTAACCGAATGCGTCCCGTCACGAACGAATTGCGAATTAAATTCGAGGGATCCTGCGTCGTGCGTTTTATTATGCCGCAATTTTTATCCGCGTCTCCGAGTCTCTGTGTACTTCGCGATAAAAAACTGGAACGACGTCAGAAGGAAAAAGGGGAGACCGGGGCTGTGAGTCACGCGTTAGTTAGTTGTCACGAAGCTTATATCTCACTTAATAAAGTAAAAAAGCGTATTTTTCTCCATAGTGTAAGTTACCGGTATCGTGTTATTTGGCGTGCGGAATGACTCGTGGTTAACGCACTGCATGTAAGGGTGTTGGATAGATTTTAGTTGTTTTCTCGGTCGTCATAGTTCAATCGACTTAAACTGCAAATGTATAATGGATGAGAGACTTAGCGACAGACGCCGTGTATAAAAAGTGCGACAATAAGCCACGGGCTCCGTCCTACTTTCCATTTTATGGATACAGTTGTTATCATCTTTGATCTGCGCACGAGGAAATTCGTAGAGTTCGCTTAACGAAGAGGGTCGCTCCGAGAATTCTGAAACGTCAACTGCGCGACTGAGATCCAGAAACCGATTATCAATCTCCCCGACTGCCGGACTTTCTTTCGAGCGAGCCGGGCTATTTTTGCCAATTATCGATCACCTAATGCGATTACACTGTTGAAACGTTTCAGAAGGATTTTCTCATGTAGGTCGAAAGTAACGTCACGTAATTTTATTCAAACCCGAAAGAATCCCGGGCGGATATGTCGAAATTTCGGACGAAAAGCCCGAATTTCCTTTGCTCCTATCAGCCGTTTCGCCCTACTTCCTCGACCAAGGTAACTCGGCCGAGACCCTCAAAAAGTCTCGGCGGTTTAAAGAATTTTAAGCCGTTCGAAAGTTCCATCTGCACCGTATCCGCCATGCTCGGAAGCAAGCAATCGAGGGATCAAGGAAACTCACGATTAGAACATCTCTCGCCCGGGTGTGATCAAGAACCGAAGGTTAGAAGATGAGGGGGGGGGGGGTAGCGTTGTACTGTACGGGCTGTACTCACCGACGTCGAATCCGTTCGCGGCGTCGCCCTGCGGGGCCAACGGGAAGCGATAGTGGTGCTCGTTCGCCTCCAAATGCCGGATGCAGCCCTTAAATCCGGTCCTCACCGGAAGTCGCTCCAAACCGGTCGTGTTTCCGGGCCCGCCGACGAAGAGCGGCTCACGGAACGTAATCCTCGAGAACAAGCCCTGCAATTGAAGCCGGAATTCTCTGGTTACACGTATGTAGTAGCCGTAACGTGCGCGGACCGGTGGCGCAATTGCGGCCGCCTGATTAATGCATGAAATTATTCCGCCCGGCAAGTACAAGCGCAATGCCGGGGTACTCCCCCCCCCCCCCCCCNNNNCCCCCCCCGGGTATCCTTTTGTATATTTCTAGGGCGGCGGTAAAACCGACCGAGTCCTTCGCGAGTCTTCCGCACGCGCGCGTATGAAAAATATATATCTCCGCAAAATATCCCAACCCTTCTCAACCCGCGTGTTCCCGCTTTTACAACTCGCCCTCGCGGGTTCGTTGTAAGATCCGTCTACGTTCCACGTCATCCGTTCTGCACGAACAATAGGATGGGGGATTACAAAAAGGATTATGCTGATCTGGCGAGAGTCATAGTTGCTGTAACTTAATACATGGCGAGCGGATGAACGAAAGATGAAAGATCGGAGTCTACCGCTTACTGGTTGCAACGAATATCGCCAAAAAGGGAGAAAAAGAGAGAGAGAGAGAGGGAGGAAGGATAGAGGAAGGGAGGGAGAAGCGCGACGACGACGTTGACACGTGCGGGAAATTCTTCCGTATCTTCGTACCTTCGATCCGCGTTATTTTCGCGACTCGTGTCTTTCGCGTTTCGCGAAATTCACGTTCCCCCCATATATATATATATATATATATATATATCTCGTAAGGCAAAATGTACCCGTTGTCAACCAATACATATCGCCGTTTCATTGTGCATTTTATATTCAAGCACACGCTCGCCCTCGTATGTCTTGCGCGCGATCATAAGTCGCCGTAGTCGTCGTCGTCGTCGTCCTCGTCGACGCTCGAATTCCATTCTCGAAAATTCTCCGAATCGGACAGGAGGATCGCACGCGAACGAGCGGTCGCGGAAGCTTTGGCAACAAGCTGTGCGCTCCAGTTTTCCGCTCTTTCTCCCGAAGCGAAGAGAATGCGGCGTGATGAGAAAAAGAAGGACAGGAGGTAGAGAGAGAGAGAGAGAGAGAGAGAG